ATATTAATTCCTATGGCCAACAAATCAATGTCGTTATCTATATGTAGTTACAATTTCTTCTTTGGTAGGAGCTACTTCATTATCATTTACTCTACTTCATCTGATACTTTATCTGATAGTTCCATTTTTTTGCTTTGATCTTGATTCTCTGTGTTTAAAATATTTTCGAGATATTTCCCCATATTTGATTTTTTTTTAATTAGATTTTCTTCTTTATCCTTATAATAGCTTGGAGGGGTATGGGTTCTATCCTGTTTTATTTCTTGGTAGAAGTTGTTATTTATTAATTTATTAAAATATTCTTGAATATAGCTTGATTTCTGCCCTAAGAACATTTGTTTACGTATTTTCTTTGGTTCCTGTTTTTTTTTAGCATATCCTTCTTTACTTTCTATATTGTTTATCCTCCTGCTACAAATTCTAGCTTTATTTCGGTTATATTATAACAGCTTTGCAGACCATTTTGATACTTTACGAAGCTTCTCTGCAAAGTACTGAGAAAACTAGCTTTGTAGATTCCCATCTCTAGTTTCTTTCTGTTTTTTTTTTTCTAGAACGTGCATTAGTCTTTTGAAGTGACGCTCCTCAACTGAAAGTTAAATTTGCATAATCCGAAGGTTCAAAGAGTAAATATTAAATCATATCGTGAAATAACATTGAAAATTGCTAATAATATTGACTCAAACGTCATGGAAATATCCGTGTTATAACAATGAACTTTTTGCATGTGTAAAGATAGTTGTTTTTAAGTCGTTCTTTTTTATAATTATGTTACAAAAAAAAACAATGTAATTGTGTGTATTTTAATATATAGATATACTAATTGATAAAAAGTAGTGAGATATTCAGGTAAATAAATTAACAAAATGTTGTAATCATTATCCTCTTCATTTTGTCTTCTTTTCGTTCTTCTAGCACACCTAGTCCACAATATTGCCAGGTTCTAAATAATTGCATGGAATGAATATGATTCAATATGAATATGAAATGTCAACTACATATATAAGATGAAAGAAACTTTTACGGATATCTTCAAGATTTAAAGATGAGGATACATTGAGATAAAAAAAGGAGATTAACATTTCGCGATAAAGCTGGATAAACATTTGTGGGCAGATATTTGGATATTTGCCAAGTTTCTTATTGTTTTCATTAAAGCTGCATGTTGATTCACAAAACAAACTTTTGTTGGTGTAGAGTACAAGGAAAATGGTTTTTAATTGAAATTTAATGACTTAGAGTTTCGAAATTCCAAGTACCAGTTCTTCAAGCTTATTATCGAAGGGAAGATAGAAGAAAAACGAGGCCGAGAAGAGATTGGACAAACCTCGATGCCCATGCACTTTTTAGAGCCACACAAGATCGAGAGGAGTATGCCAGAATTGTCGCCAACATCCACTAATTGGATAGGGCACCATAAGAAGAAGAAGAAGAAGAGTTCAAGTGAAACTTTTAACATTTAACCTAGGTTTACTGAACTTTTTAGCAGTCTTTTAGATATGTCACGGTTGCGTTATGATTGGAAACTACTGAAGATAAAAAATGAATTATTTGACTCTGTGTTTGTTAATATTTTCCTTTGTTGAAGGATTCTCTCTACTGTTCGTTGATATAGTCTTTATAGATTCACTGATACGTTCTTTAATATTTAGCTCATCATCATTGTCATCATTCCCCAACCTCTTGCATCCACTGTTGGATATAGGTCTCCCCCATGTTCTTCCATTGTTCTCTATCTTGCGCCTTCTGTATCCAATTTCCGACTGTTTTTCTCAAGTCGTCCATCCATCTTTTTGGTGGTCTGCCTCGGTGACTTTTGTCTTCTCTAGGTCTCCATTCTATAAGTCTTTTCATCCTCCTATTATCATTTAAACGTGCTATATGTCCAGCCCATCTCCATTTGCAATTTTTTCTATGACATCTGTCACTTTAGTCCTCTCTCTCACTATCCTATTTGGTACCATATCTCTTCTAGTTATTCCCAACATTGCTCTTTCCATTTTTCTTTGGGTTACTCTCAATTTATTTGCAGAATGTTTGGTTAAAGTTATTGTTTCGGAACCATATGTTATTACTGGCAGTATGCATTGGTTGTAAACCTTTTTCTTCGAGCAAATCGGTAGTGTTCCTTTTAGAATATCTCGCATCTTGCCAAATGCTGCCCATCCCAAGCCTATGCGACGCTGGATCTCACAAGTTTGATTGTCTTTTCCTATTCTAATTTCATGCCCTAAATAGATATAGCTAAAGACCTGATGTACTTCGTTCCCATCTACCCTCATAATATCACTTGGAACTAAATTGGTCATGTATTTTGTTTTTTCAAAGTTTATGTTCAGGCCTATTTGTTCTATTGCCTGTTTTAGTTCTTCCATCATTTTGTGAGCTTCATTTAAACTCTCGGCTATAACGACAATATCATCTGCAAAGCGCAAGTGGCTTAAGTATTCACCATCAATATTTATTCCCCTTTTAGCCCAATCTAGTTTTTTAAAAGCCTATTCCAGAGCTGCAGTAAATAGTTGGGGGGAGATGGTGTCGCCCTGTCTAATTCCTCGCTCAATTCTATATTTATCGGTAAAGTCATGGAGTTTAACAGATGCTGTTGCGTTGTTGTATATATGTTTTATCAAATTTGTATATCTATAGTCTACTCGGCTTTATTCTAATGCTCCTAATACTGCCGGTAATTCCACAGTATCAAAAGCTTTCTTGAAGTCTATGAAAATCAACGTGAGTGGTTTATTATATTCAACACATTTTTCAATTAGTATTTTAAGTGCTTGTAGGTGGTGATTTGTTTCATAACCTTTCCTAAACCCAGCTTGCTCCTTAGACTGATAGAAATCTAATTTTCGTTCTAAACGTTTTGTGATGATCTTGGTAAACCATTTGTAGAGATGTGACAACAGACTTATCGGTCTATAATTCTCTAGGTCTGATATATCTCCTTTTTTGTGTATTAGGATAGTAATTGCATTGTTCCATTTTGTAGGGACAATACCTTGGTTTAGACATATGTTGAATAGTTCAGTTACTACTTCCAGCAGTTTCTTGCCTTCTACTTTAACAGCTTCTATTACTATTTAGTCATCTCCCGGAGTCTTGTTGTTTTTCATTTCCTTTAGAGTTCGTTTCACTTCTTCTATCGTTATGGTATACCATATACTACCATAACGAATATTTAGCTATACTGTAACAATTATTTTGCCTACCACATAGGGTATTACTATAAGGGGTTGAAAATTGGGGACAGAAATCACGGGGTTAGAGATAGGGTAAGCAAAACAAATCGAAACGTTTGCGAACGGCTACTCAGGGTTTATTTGGAGAGCTGATGTCGGATATAAGTGAATAATAAGATGACTGGATTGGGGTACCTACAACAATGAAACAAAAGGGGTACTTACATGAGTCTTCAGGACAAACAAAACACAAGAAGGTTCTCAAGCTATTTAAAATAGACGCCGCTTAGAAGAATCATTCTGCTGAATGAAAGAAAAGGCCCTTCCTTCCTAAAAAACACAAAAAAAGGGTTAGGAACTTTTTTAAAAGAAATAAACAAAATGGTTTAACTAACTAAAACCAACTTACTATGTTATATCCGTTTACAAACTCTAGAATTTGGAGATACTACAAAACTAACAATGGTCAATGGGCGACAATTTGTAACGGAAAAAATTAGAAATAAAAAATAGCTTTTTTAAATGAAACTATGCATAGAGACTAACCTTAAAAAAACAAAAACAAAACAAGATCTCAATTATAATTCCACTGATTACAATTTTTTAACCTGTAATGAAAGTAATTATTTCTGGCAAATGTCTATTTTTACTTTAAAAGTTCAACAAAAAAAAGTTATCTGAATTTCACTGAATGTTAATTTTATTTCTTTCTGACATTGGAACTGGATTTACACTGCAAACACAAACAAATGCATCTCCAAACTGCAAAGATAGTTTGAAATGGCTTAGGATACACAAAATGAGGATGGAAACTGGCACTGGGACGAAAACTTTAAAACTTGGCTTCTTAAAAACCCAAACACAACTAGAACACGACTGTGTTTATCCTTTGAAGTTGTTGTAAACGCCGTTTTACAAATATCTCAGATGAGAGATGGCATAGAAATAAAACAGTGAATACTCTTTCAAAACTGACAAATTATATTGAGTGTAATTCACTTTTTTCAACAAATTTGCCGGCTTCTTAACGCCGACACTCGTCGCCTGTGGTCTCAACTAAATCTCTTCCAAACCTGTCTAATTGCACAATTAATTGCCACACAGCTACTAATCTTTCATAACATAAGACGAAAAACGAAAAAATTATGAATGTGAAGAAAAATTCGAACGGTTAAATTTCTATTTATTTGACGCTCAAAATATCCTAAAAGCGGCTCTCGATCAAAAGAATACCGAGTAAATACACATCTGTGATATATAAACAAATTTTAAAATGTATTTATTATCAACTTGGCGACGCAAAAGGATTGAAATAATATTTTGGTGTTTTAACATATACAAGGTGATTGATGAAATGCTACAATACCTACCAAAATAAAACTTTATATTATTTATAGAAACTAAACATCTAAAATAAATAATAGAAAAATATAAACTAAATATCTTCATATATTTATTAAAAAAAGGTTCGGTTATCTTAGAAAATACTTTTGCATTTTCAAACACATTTGAAAACAATTTCTTCCTTATAAAATGATCGTTTTTTTTTCGTTAATATAAAAAGTTAATTAGACAGAGAAAGATTTTGTTCAGGAAAAGAAGCAGCCATATACTCAAAACATCTTTTGGAGGTATCTTAAGCGGAATGGAGAAACTGATTTTATATTTGTGCGGAAGTGTTTAGATCATTAAAAATAATGTTTTTAAAAACAATATAAAGTCTTTTTAAATGATAAATTTCTGTTTTTTCTTTAAATTTTAATTTATATTATAAATCCCTTTCTGACAATTAGTATATTTTATTTTTTGTTCCAGAATGTCTACACTTTTAAAATGGGCTCAAAATACACAAGGAAAATTTAACGGAAAAAATAGTAATGGAACTACAAACGGCGAAAGAAAATGGATTCATCCTCCTGAGGCATTGCAGAAAGGACACATAGCATATCTCGTCAAATTTTTAGGCAACACGGTAGTCGATCAACCAAAAGGTAATTAATTATTTAGTTAGTAGTAGCTGTATCATCATCATCAGTAGCTCGACAAGCCTTTCTGGGTCCTGGCTTGTTCTAAGATTTCCGCCATTATGTTCTATTCCTTGCTTTGTTTTCCAGTTGGTAATCTTAAGTGTTCATAAATCTTGTTCCATGTATTGTAAGTTTGGGTCTTCCCTTTGACCTTCTTCCTACTGGTATTTGCCTCATTATATGTTTTGGTGTATATGAGGGTGATTGGCAAGGTTAGCAACCTAACAATCGTAAAAACAAATACTGCTCGAAGAAACAATAGTGTTTTTATGAGGGTATATTTGTGAAAAAAAAGTAGTGTAAAATTGTCAAATTTGGAAGATGCTGGTATATATAAAAAATAGCAGAAAGAAATCATCACAACAAATTTAAAAATATATTGTTTAGTACGTATAAGGTTATTCAATTATGGACGATTATAAAAACTGTTAAAATATGTATTAATATATGTCGCTTTTATAAATTTTACGATCTGATTAACGTTTCAAAAAATCAATAGAAATAAATTTAAATAAACGACTATTACCACTCAATCCGTTAAAGCCAGTGAACTTAGAATGGCATCAAAACTTGCAACACCACATTTCTATGATAAAGTACTTTTGTAACGTATAATAAACAAGTCGAAAAGCTTGGGTTCGTTCGGAAAAATATTCCTATGAGATTTTGTACATAATCAATTTTATGAGTTACCCCAGAATACGATTCAAGAGTGGCCCTAATTGATTTAAACGAATTTTTTGGCCCGAATAAAGTTTTTCAGATTTTTTTGAGTTATTCTTCAGTAGAATACGATCTTAAGATTGAGCATCGGGTCGGATTTAGCCTCAGAAATGTTGATTCTAGAAGGCCATGCCCAGCTGAGTGTTCAGACTGCAACAAAACAGAATCCAAGGAAGCAGCAGTGCTAAGAACAACGATGGTCAAGGACGAATGGACGCATACTAAGTGCAGAGAAGAACAAGAGAAAGATCCAGTTTTACAGAAAATTCGAAAATGGAAAGAAGAAAACCGTCGACCACCTTGGCAAGAAATATCAAGCCTATGCTCAGTACTTGACTTTATTTTACTCGATAACAACTTTAAGAAGTACATAAAATCTACTAAAGCATTTCCTGGAGCTGATATTCATAACGATCACAATCCAGTTATAATGTATTTTAGACACTAGCCTCTTTTATTTTGTTCCTTATTAATTTGTGTTTTTATCTGTACTTATTTGGGTTTTTGTTTCTATATTTTCTTCTTTCTTCCATGATTTCCAGTATTTCTTGAGTCATCCAAGGTTTTCGTCTTTCTGTTTTAATTTGTAGAGATTCTTTCTGTGCTTTTATAACAGAATCTTTTGATTTTGCTCGACATACTTAATGTTCACATTCTCAGTGTTTTTCATTTCTGATGTTAATTTCTTGATTAATACAAGTTGAAGCCTTAGCACGGATTTCATTTATCTTAAGTAGCTGGGTATTCATCTTAGAACTTTTGGACTTTATTATCTTTTTTGCCCTCAGTTTCATTTTTGATACAAGGAGGTTATAGTCTGAGGGGACATCTGCTCCAGAAAAAGTCTTAACGCAAAATTTAACAGCTTTTCTTCTTCTTTTTTGAGTACCGTGCCCAAGTTTTATGTGTGGATAGCTTCCATGACAATTTGTCCATATCGTTCGGCATGTAATAAGTCATCTGCTGATAAGCCAGTCCATTGACGAAGGTTTCGGAGCCATGAGTATTTCTTTCGGCCAATTCCTCTTCTTCCGTCGATCTTTCCGTTGAGTATCAACTGCATTATCCTGTATCTGCTTCCTCTCATTAAATGCCCCAGATATTCGAGTTTTCTCTTTTTTATCATCTTTATTAAGTCACTTTCACCTTGACCTGCTCTGTTCAAGACTTCCCTGTTTGAAATGTGTTGACCCCATGATATTCTGTGCACGAAACCCATGAAACAGCTTTTATTACAGGAAATTTTTTTTTTTTTTTTTTAATTTTTATTATATTTTCATAGACTGTGGGGTTTTCGTGTCCATTAGTGTAAATAGCGGCGATATTGATTTGTTTGTTTAACGATAACTACATTTTACCTTAACACTAGGTAAATTGGAAAACAAACTACAGAGTTCTCAAGTTATTTACCACCGATTTTGCCTATTGTGACGGTGATTTAAACTACTCCTTTGCTTGTTTTTATTTTGTTAGTAAAGTTTCCTCATAATCGTCAGACGATTACCCTAATAAAATATACAAAATTATATCATAATTCATAATATATTATATTAACTTTGACCTTGGGTATACCCCTGTTCCACAAACCAAACTTTATCTTTTTTTATCTATAATATATATCGAAACAAATTATTGGTATATCTCACACCTTTACAATCACTTATATTTAGTAATAATGATAGAAGTTCTGTTTACCTTCTCGATATTCACCTACTTTTTCATAATTTTAGGCATAGAAGTAGTCAAGGAAGGTATACGTAAGTTGCGATTTAACCAGCAATTAAAGAAGAGTGAAAGTGGTGCCAAAACTAGAAAAGTCGAACTAACTATAAGTATCGATGGCGTCGCCATTCAAGAACCTAGGAGTCACAATATCATGCACCAATTCCCATTGCACAGGATATCCTATTGTGCGGACGATAAGGGCGAGAAGAGATTCTTTTCATTCATAGCGAAGCAACCAAATCAAGGTGAGTCTTGTTTTCATAATCATATCGATTCATGCAACGAAGACTGTAGTAAGTCATTTTAGATAGTTTTGAGAAAACTAATTTACAAGTACCTATAAGCACTGATTAGCAGTTTCTAAAATATCCAAAAATAAACTGTTGAAAACAAAACTTTTGTTGGTATGTTTATTTAAATGCAGTTTCCAAAATTTATCACCAAAAAATTATATATTTTTTAATATATTCTGTTTTTTTATATGAGCTACTACATTTTTCGTCGGAACAATTTAGGGGAAAAATGACATACGATTATTTTCAAAGAAACATTTTAATACGAACTTTATAATTATATCTTAAATTTCACAAAATAGGTTACATTTATTTCTACTCAAAGTCATCATCAGATTCGCTGCTACTAGAACTTTTAGAGTCTTGAGGTATATCATTCTTCATCTGTGTTCCCTCCTTTGACCGTAAAGAAAAAAGCAGTTATGGTACAAACGCCGTATTGAAGGTGGATCAACCCTGCTCTAATTAACCTTTTAATTTCTTACTATCAACAGATAGACGAGAAGTATAAAGTTTCGGAAACTCGGAGTCCTCTTAAATATTGACTCTAGAGCTGCCGTGAACAATTTTGGTGAAATATTGTCTCCTTTCTAACTCCTCGACCTAAGCTGAATTTTTCTGTGTCTTCGTGTAGTCATATACTTGATGTAGCGTTCTCGTAGATGTTTTGATTAGTGTCGTGTACCAGTAATCTATTCGGCTTTGATTTAGGTCTTCCAGTATTGTTTCAAACTCGACAGAATCAAAAGCTTTCTCGTAATCGACAAATGCAAGAATCAGTGGTATGTTGTACTCGATGCACTTTTCTATTAAGATCTTTATGGTATGCAAATGGTCATTTGTGCCATATCCTGCCCTGAAGCCTGCCTGTTCTTTGGGCTGATAGAAATCAAGTTTAGGTGTTAGCCTCTTTGTTAAAATTTTCATAAAGAGTTTGTACATATGTGTCAAGAGGCTGATGGGTCTATAATTTTCTAATTTAGTAATATCGCCTTTTTTGTGTAACAAGACTATTACTGCATTGGTACAGTCTTTTGGAATCATACGCGTATGTAAGCATTTATTAAATAGTTCGCTTACTGATTTTAATAAAATTTCTCCTCCTGCTTTTATTGCCTCGATAACGAGTCCATCATCACCAGGCGATCGATGGTTCTTCATTTCCTTTAAAGCTGCTCTTACTTCTGACACAGTAATGGGTAAAAGTATTTCCGATCCCTGATTTATGAGTCTTTACTCGTGTCGGGAAATTGTCTTGTGGTCTTTGGCTGGTATAGAGGTCTTTATAAAACTCTCTGTTTATTTTCTGAATGTTTTGTTTATCTGTTGTTGTCTTTTCGTCTTTATCTCTCAGCTTGTATATTTCTTTTTTACTTTGTGTAAGAGTTTTCTTTTCATTATCTTTAGGGATCAAAGAAAGATATCAAAGAAAAGAAACAATACCTACTAGGTATTAATAGTTTTTATGATGACAAAAGGAAATTTGAAGTGTTACCAAAGTAATAGTATTATTGCTTTTGTATGTATACTTACCAAGGTCATGTTGTTCACTACTTTTCTTAGATAACTCCAGTATACTTTTAATTCTATTCATATTTTAAACTTCAAACATTCTTCACACAAAGCTGAAGCCAATATTTATTGAAGGTGCATAACCTTAAAAAGTTATACACGAAAATGCAAACAAGTCAATAATAGTAACTCAAAGAAGACACAGCACTATCTAGATATTTTGCAAAGAAGACTGTAATAACTCAATATACGACAAATATTGTTTAACAATGATTATGCAGCGAAGATTACAGTAACTCAACTTATTGCAGTTATCATTGAAAATGTGGTAGATATTTGAAAATTTGAAATACTATAAAACTGAATTGTGTATTTTAAGTTGCCTATGCAGCCGCTAGAGTTACCACAATGTTCTATGTTATAGTGCGTGCAAGCACTCTTGACCACGGCGCAGTAGACGAAGTTTGGTTTAGTCCCCACTTCCGTGCGAAACGCATTGTACTATGCACTGTATAATTCCACTTACAATAGAACCTTTCTGCCTTTACGTGAATTTGACTCCGCCTTCGCGTATCTCCATGGTCAAGAGTGCTTGCACGCACTATACAGCTACGTATAGAATAATTCAGAAAGTAATAACTCCAATTATATAAAAATTGAGTTACTACAGTTTTCGTTGCATGAGTTGATATAGAGACAGTGTTATCGATTGAGGGTGTTTCTTAGTATAGTTTTGTTTGTATATATTTGATAGGTCAAACTGATAACAGATGAATGTTCTTAAAAAACTGAATAGAGTGTATTTTTTTATTAAAATGAGCTGAGTACTTTCGGCATGTAACATGTCATCTTCAGAGCTTCGTCTTATAGGTTACAAATACCTCGTGGAAGAGTGATTGTCGACAAAAAATACATTAAAAAATGTAAATGGCCTACGCTTCTATATAAGAGTAGTAAAACCCTTTTAAAGTTGTAAAAATCACATTTAAAAGGTGCTTGGTAGACCAGTAGCCACTGCGAAGGTATTACAGATTATAGAAGGTATTACAGGTAATACAGAAGTGTTACGGAGAATAAGCAGAGAGAGGGAAATGGAAAATACAATAAAAGGAAATTGTAATATCTCGGACATGTGATGAGAGGCGAAAGATACAACATCTTGAGACTCATAATTCAAGGAAAAATAGAGGGTAGCAGAAGCGTAAGAAGAATGCACGTTTCCTGGTTGAAGGACCTGACTGCAGCTCAAGGCAATTGTTCAGAGCAGCTGCCTCGAAGGTCAGAATAGCCATGATGATTGCCAACCTTCGTCGAAGAGATGGCACAACAAAAGAATGTTGTGTTGTCTGGAGAGGACCTCTAAAAATAAGTCCATCTTTATTGAGCTATTACCTTAAAAGGTGCTTATTTGTTCCTATTGTCTTTAGTAATAACCACCCTTGCTCTAGGGATTACTGTGGGAGCTACTAGCACCCTTTTTCAATTTGGTTTTGGTAATTTGTAGTGATCCAATCACTCATCAGTGCCGATAGGTGAAAAGATAGGACAAGCATTTATGCATTACGTAATATACTGTCTACAATCGTAATTTGTTAAATTCCACATTACGAATTTGGAATTTCATAAACAAACTGAGTTTTAAAGATAAATATTCAATAGTATTTACCAGCTTAGAGTTGGTTATGACTAATGCCGAGTAATTATCCATAATCACCGAAGTAACCTCATTTACCTAACTTATAAATTGATTTTGTGATATGGTTTATTAGTTATTTAGGATATAACATTAATATAATCATTTGTTTTTAGTGGATAATGAAGCAGAAGAAACCCACGAATGTTTTGTTTTCATCTCGGATAAATTAGCAGAAGAAATAACGTTAACGATCGGCCAAGCTTTTGAATTAGCCTACAAAAGATTTCTGGAGACGTCCGGAAAAGACTTAGAATCTCAGCGGCAAGCGATGATCCACCAACAAAGGATCAAACGATTAGAACAAGAAAGTAACATATACAAACAACGATTGCTCGACATTTCACACTTCGCCAGTATTAAGTTAGAATTAGATCAATATTTGCGCAACCATGACATTAAAAATATTCTGGAAATCATCGGGCAGAACGACAAATCGAGCAACAACAAAACTCAGCCGTTGACCAACGGTAGCACGAAATCACTGTTGGATCTTAGCGAGTCTACGAATGGAAATCTACCTCCAGTTCCACCGAGGAACTTTGATAACACGCCAGCAGTAGGAACCAAACTTGAAGGGTCAGTATATTTCTTTTATTATTGATAAATTCTGCCACCATAAGTTAAAAAGCGCCATCTCCAAAGAACAACATTTTACAGGAGACAAGGAAAACCAATTTTTTCTCCAGCATCCCAGTTTTGATATTTTTAAATGAATTTAATATGAAAATGGTTTTATTTCAATGTTAAAATTATGGCCTTAACGTTAACATAAGAATATTTAAATTTTTAGGAGAAAAATGGATTTAGGGCTTTTTATTTTAAAGTTGGATGCTGACATATCAGATTCTAAGAAGCCCTAACTCCCTCGTATAGTCAGTTAAAACTTTTTACTTTAAAAATTAACTAATTTTATACATACTGAACATAAAAGGTTTATTGAAAATACAACTTTTATTTTTAAGAACTGTGTAATATCTAAAAATGAATAGACATATAAAAATGTAAAGTTATGAAATAATTTAAAACTAAGTAACATAAGGGAAAAATTGGACTCATTCAGCGTCAGTCAGTGTTTAATAAATCTGGCTCCTCGAACTCTTGAATGGTTAACCAAAATCCACGGCGATTAGATGGCATTCTTCTTCTTCAGATGCAAATCCACTAATACATGTTAGCGATCACATTTTCTATTAATTCTCTATTTCTTGTGATATGTATCAGAGATTGTATGTCGTTAATCCCTGTCCATTGCCTTATGTTTCGGAGCCAGGACATTTTCTTGCGTCCCATTCCTCTCTTGCCTTCAATTTTACCCTCGATTATAAGTTGGAGGAACTGGTATTTTTCATTTCGCATGATGTGACCTAGATACGCCGTTTTCCGTTTCTTGATGGTTTCGAAAAGTTGGCGTTCTTGGTTTATTCTTTTAAGGACATCTATATTTGTGATTTTCGCTGTCCATGGTATTTTTAGGATACGGCGATAGAGCCACATTTCGAAAGCTTCTAATCTGTTCATATCCCTCGTTTTGAGTGTCCAGCACTGACCCCACGTAGCACTTAGTAAACCTTAGTCTCAGTTGAAGATCAAACTCTGAACAAGTCAGTACCTTCTTGAATTTTACGAAAGCTTGTCGAGCTTGCTCAATGCGACATTTTACTTCCCTGTCAGATGCCCAGTCTTCAAAAAGCCACGATCCCAGGTATTTAAATTTACTCACTCTTTCAATGGACTTAGTATTCAGTGTTATGGTGGAGTTTTCAAGTGCATCCAAGTTTCTGGAGATGATCATACATTTGGTTTTTTTGGTATTAATCTCTAATCCCATTCGCTTACTGTATTCTCCGATTGTTGTTGAAGATCGACTATGTTGTCACAAATTAAGACACCATCATCAGCATATCGTATGTTGTTGATCAATACTCCATTGACTTTGATTCCCATCTTTGCATTCTCCAAAGACTCTTGAAATATGGCTTACGAATAAATGTTAAATAAAAGAGGGTGTTTAAATTCAAATATGGTTGTATAAATTAATCAAGACATTTTGTCCTCCCCCTGTATACCTTCGATCCCTATTCGTACCGTTCGGGTATGCTATGCATCCCGTAGGACACAAGCGCTTAAGTCGTTGAGCAGAATAGACGCAAGACACAACCCTCGCGAGTGCGTCGATGCATCGAAATCGGTTGGTTTTATAGTAGTAAATTATGGTACCTAATTAGCGGTTCGGTAAGTTCACCTAGTTTAATACCTTTGTTTGTTTTTTGATTGTTTTTGCAACCATTTAAATTTTATATTATTTGTTATTTGCACCTATGAGTGAAAGTTCATTTATCTTGCCAGAGCTATCGAAGGAATAGCTGGTATTAATCTTAGTACTATTAATTCGTAATAGTACATTATTTTGTTAAACCCCCACATTGGCCTATCTCGCCGAATTTGAACTCATTTGTTGAAAAAAAATATTTTGTTATATTATAAATTTGAATGGTTGGTTTCGTCTTATGTCGTATTTTTTTATCGTTTTGAGGGTTGATTAAGTTGCGTCTCTTGTCGAAAGCTATTAACTTCGAGACCCGAGAATAATTTATGACCTTTTAAAGTGCACCATATGGGATTTTTTAAAAGGAGATTATAGTCGTTTTAATAAAGTATCGAATTTCAAATCATTAATTTCGAGCATTTCGGGGTTTTAGACAACATTTTTGTACATTTTTCGTTTGTATATTATTGGAATTTATTAGACATTGGCAATGGACAAGTTAGAAGAGAAAAACAGAAAGCTCAAATTTATGAGAAAGACTGTTTTAAACGATATGCAAATAATATTCGATTTGGGTTTTAAATCGCTCTCGGATATTTCGATCCGACCTTTATTTAAAATCAGGGTGGAAGAATTAGATTTAATACGCGATGAATTCTTGAAACACCACACAAATATAATTAGTAATATTCTTGCTGTACCAGACGCGGATACGAGGGTCGAAGAAAATGTTCGGGAATTATTTTTGGAACAATTTTATAAAATAAAATTATTTAGTGCGGAGTTATTTGAGCCACAATGTGAAACTCCAGAACCGTTTAGGTCGGTAGTAGTTCCAAAATCTAACATTCGCTTGCCTAAAATAGAACTGCCTAAATTTAACGGTGATTTTAAGGAGTTTAGTTCGTTTTTAGATTTATATAATTCGGTTGTACATAATAACGCAGGACTAGCAGAAGTAGAAAAGTTTAAGTATTTGAAAGGATGTTTAGAAGGGACTCCACTTAGTTTGATTCGTAATTTGCCAATAAATAGCGATAATTATCAAATTGCTTACGATTTAATTGTTAAACGCTACACAAATGTTCGTCGGTGTGCGACCGCGCATTGGGATGCGATCATGGGCGTGCCGAAAATATCGTTAGTTAATTCGAAAAATCTGGCTAAATTAGTAGACACGTTTTTAGAAAATTTAGCCGCATTGAAAACATTAGGCCTTCCGACAGAACATTGGGACTTTATTATGTTTAATTTACTTTTGTCGAAACTAGACGCGGATTCAGTAAAATTATTTGAATTAGAAAATAAATCGAATAAAATCCCGTCATTTCAAAAATTAGTTGAGTTTATTGAAACTCAGTACATTGCTTACGATAATTTGAATAGTAGCGTAAGCGAATCTAAGAAGTCGTCGCGGGCCCCAACTTATACGGAGCCTAAGGGTAATTCTAAACATTCGAATGAGTCTAGGCATAATCGTAGTTCATCCTTTGTTACAAATTCGTCATTAGTAAGCTGTGCTTTATGTAAGCAAAGTCATTTTCTAAACCAGTGCTCGTTGTTTTTGAAGAAATCTCCAAAAGAGAGATACCAATTTTGTAAAGAATCTTCCTCGTGTTTTAGATGTCTTAATCAGGCTAATCATTCTGTCAAGTCGTGTCCAAAGTCCTTTAAATGTAGTAAATGTAATAGTCACCTTCATAATAGTTTGCTGCACTTCGATAGAAATCGTTCCAATAGTCAGTCGTCCACAGAAAATACTAATAATCCAGGGGCATCGGGAGTCGAACAGAATTCGCCTGAAATATCACATTGTGCTGCTAGTTTTGTAGGGAGGAAAAACGAAACAAAAAAGGAAATCTTGCTCGGTACCGTTTGGGTTCATGCAATTGATAGTAAGGGGTGTAAACAGCCCTTGAGATGTCTTTTAGATTCGGGTTCAATGAGTTCGTTCATTAGTCGAAAAGCTGCCAGTAGATTAGGTTGGCCTAAAACTCCTTGTTCGTTTGAAGTTAACGGACTCAATTCGATGCAAACGAAGCTGAATCAAGGTCAAATAAGTTTTTCTATCCAACCTCGTCATCAGGAGTCACCGGTGTTTCACTTGGAAGCTGTTATTACAGATCGGGTTTGCTCGGATTTGCCGAGCACCAAAATTGACATATCGACGTGGAATTATATCAAAAATTTAAAGTTAGCCGATCCCGAATTTAACTGTAGTCAATCTATTGATTTGTTAATTGGTTGTAGCATATTTTCGAAGGTGTTGTTAGAAGGTAAAATTGAAGGTAAAGCGGGACAACCTGATGCCCTAAATACCGTTTTTGGATATATTTTGTTAGGACCTACTAGCACACCTAATCTTTCGTCGACTTCGCTTGTTTGTCTTTCAAATATTGAAGACCCATTAGATTCTTCATTATCGAAATTTTGGGAACTGGAAAACATACCGGAAAAGCCAGTTTCAGAACCAGAAGACGCTCTGTGCGAAAACATTTATCGGGAAACACATAATCGGGACGTCTCAGGTAAATATGTCGTGTCTTTGCCTTTTCGTGAATCGCCGCCTTGTTTGCAAGATAGCTATGATATTGCTTTAAATAGACTGCTATCATTAGAACGTCGTTTATCTCGTCAACCAAGTTTGAAAAAAGAATATTCTTTTCATATGCAGGAGTATCTTGATTTAGGTCATATGCAGTTAGTCCCTAATGCCGAAAAGAAAAGGGGAAAGTATTACATTCCACATCATTGCGTTGTGAAACCAGATAGTGTTTCAAATAAAATTCGAGTTGTGTATAATGCGTCTCAGAAAAGTCCCAGTCTTGGCAAATCTTTGAACGAATATTTACTGGTCGGTCCTAAGCTACAACAGAACATAGTCTCGCTTTTGTTAAATTTTAGACTTAATCGTTTTGCGTTGTGTGCGGACATTCGTCAGATGTATCGCAATATTTTAATCGCTCCTGAACACACGGATTATCAACGCGTGTTATGGAGATTTTCTAGCCTTGAGGAAATTCAGGAATATCGTTTATTAACTGTTACTTTTGGAATAGTATCTTCGCCGTATCTTGCTTTAAGAACCCTTCAACAATTAGCATTAGACGAAGGCTCTCGTTTTCCTAAAGCCGTCTCGCTTATTCGTCATGCTTCGTATATTGATGATTTTGTTTTTGGTGCTTCGACTCTCGAAGAAGCACAAACTTTAATTGACGAATTAGTTACTTTGTTAAAGTTAGGAGGCTTTGAGTTACGGAAATGGTGTTCGAATGAACCCAAATTGTTGTCGCAATTTCCTGAATCCCATATTAATCCTCATGCCATTAATTTTGATCCAGAAGCAAATGGTCCTTCATTAAAAATCCTTGGTTTGAAGTGGATTGCACAGTCCGACGTCTTTCAATTTTCAGTCAAATTGCAAGACGTCCCTTGTACCAAAAGATCGTTTTTGTCCGAACTAGCTCGAATTTATAATCCTTGTGGTTACCTAACACCTATTACGTTTTTCATTAAACATTTAATCCAACAACTTTGGGCAACCGGTCTTAAATGGGATGATCGCCCTCCTTCGGAAATAATTCGTGTATGGGAACAATATAAGAGCGAATTATCTCTTATTTCACAATTCAAAATTCCTCGGTTTTTGAATATTTCTTCATGTCCCATCTTAGAGCTTCATGGATTTGCCGATGCTAGTGAAAAGGGATATGCTTGTGTCGTTTACATTCGTAGTATTGATACTCGTAACCTAGTTCAAGTCAATTTACTGTGTGCCAAATCGAAAGTAGCTCCTATAAAACAGATTACTATACCTCGATTAGAATTGTTAGCTGCTGTTCATTTGGTAAAACTTATGTCGTTTGTGTTAGAGTCGTGGAAGCATATAATATTTCAAAATGTGTATGCTTGGTTAGATTCTCAAATCGTATTGCACTGGATTAAAAGTTCCCCCTCGAGATTCAAAACTTTCGTCGCAAATCGCATTTCGTATATCCAGTCCTATAGTCAAAATTATTCTTGGCATTATATCGAATCTCGAAATAATGCAGCCGATGCGCCTTCGCGAGGCATGCTACCGGCCGCTTTTCTATCGAAATTAGACTGGTTAACAGGTCCTTCGCTTTTGTATAACATTCCATTAAATTTTCCAGAGGTTCCTCCCTCATTGCAGGAAAAATCCTCTTTGGAAGAGGTAAAGAAATCTTTAGTATTTGTTTCTACTCATGAGGAACATTTTTTGTCTTGTTTACTGAAAAATAAATCGTCTTTTACCTCGATCCAAAGAATTTTGGCTTTTATGTTGCGATTCGCGCACAACTCTCATTATAAAAGGTCGAAACGGTCAGGACCCTTGACTTTCGTAGAATTAGAAGACTCGTTGATTATTCTTGTCAGATTTACACAGGAAAAGTATTTTGAAGAACATCTTCAATCAAACTCTTTTCCTAAACCATTTCGTAAGTTGGGAGTATTTTTGGATGATAGCACTCAGTGTTTAAGAGTAGGTGGTCGTCTATCTCAGTCTTCGTTATCGTATGAAGCAAAACACCCGTTTTTGTTACCAAAGAAATCTCGCCTTACTACTCTTCTAGTTCGTTATTATCATGAGAAGTATTTACATGCTGGATTTAAGAGTACTCAATTTTTGATTAGTCAAAGGTTTTGGATACTGTCTTCTAAACAAGCCATTAATTCAGTATTGTCCAAATGTATTAGATGTTGGAAACAATCTCCCAAAAACTTACAACCCCCTATGGGTAATTTGCCTAAATTTCGTCTCGGTGCCATTAAACCCTTTTCGATTTGTGGGTTAGATTATGGTGGACCGTTTTCGATAACCATGTCTCGTTACAGGGGAGTTAGAACTCAAAAGGCCTATTTGTGTTTATTTGTATGTTGCGCTACAAAGGCTTTACATCTGGAATTAGCTAGTGATTTGACCGCGGAAGCCTTTTTGGCCGCTTTACAACGTTTTGTCGCTCGGAGAGGTCGAGTATCGCAAGTATTTTGTGATAATGGCACTAATTTCCACAGTGCTTATCGACAGCTTAGTAGCTTTATGGAGAGCGCTCTCGATAAGGAAAATATTAAGTTTTCATTTGCTCCTCCTGCTGCTCCACATTTTGGCGGTATTTATGAACGCGGAATTCGTTCTGTAAAGGAACATATTGGTCGTATAGTCGGGGCACAAATTTTGACTTACGAAGAATTTTATACCGTTTTGACGTTAATTGAATCCGTCTTAAATTCACGCCCTCTCACCCCTTTAACCAATGATGTTGAAGATCTCAATGCTTTGACCCCAGGACATTTCCTGACTCTTGAACCCTTGACATCTTTGTCTGTGCCTGATTTTTCGGAGGTATCCTTCAATCGTTTGTCCAGATGGCAGTTGTTACAGCGCATCCATAGAGACTTTTGGGCTCGATGGCGAAAGGAATATTTGCACACCTTGCAACAAAAGTGTAAATGGTTAGATCCTAGTTTTGTACCTAAAATCGGCACCTTAGTTGTTTTAAAGGAGGATAATTTGGCTCCGTGTAAGTGGCCTCTCGCGCGTCTTGTTGAATTACATGAGGGTAAAGACGGTGTAGCTCGAGTGGCTACCGTGCGTACGATTACCGGAACCTTAAAACGGCCTCTTGTCCGAATCTGTCCCGTGCCGATAGATGAAGATTAAATGGTCAGCATTTTTTTTACTGATTTTGTTTTGTTCGGCTTTTATGAATAGAACCACGACAAAACCACCATTTTAATTTTAATTTTTTTATTTTTTAGTTTAAGTTTTGAATATTTGTTTAATATTTGTATAGGAATTGTTTGTAGTAATTATCGTTTTGATTGTTTAAGTAATGATAGTATTTAGAATTCGTTTTGTTTTTTAAAGACCTTATGGCCTTTAAAGGGGGGAGAATGTTTAAATTCAAATATGGTTGTATAAATTAATCAAGACATTTTGTCCTCCCCCTGTATACCTTCGATCCCTATTCGTACCGTTCGGGTATGCTATGCATCCCGTAGGACACAAGCGCTTAAGTCGTTGAGCAGAATAGACGCAAGACACAACCCTCGCGAGTGCGTCGATGCATCGAAATCGGTTGGTTTTATAGTAGTAAATTATGGTACCTAATTAGCGGTTCGGTAAGTTCACCTAGTTTAATACCTTTGTTTGTTTTTTGATTGTTTTTGCAACCATTTAAATTTTATATTATTTGTTATTTGCACCTATGAGTGAAAGTTCATTTATCTTGCCAGAGCTATCGAAGGAATAGCTGGTATTAATCTTAGTACTATTAATTCGTAATAGTACATTATTTTGTTAAACCCCCACAGAGGGGAAAGCACACATCCCTGTCGAACGCCCCTTCGTATATGTATGGGTTTGGATATAGAACTGTCTATTTTTAACTGTGCCGTTTGATGCCAGTACAAGATGGCACAAGAGGGCACAATTGTTCAACTATTTCTTTTTTCTTAGTTATTAAATCCTCTTACTCCTTTAGTTTTCTTAGGCATTGGAAACTTGTTGATATATTAAGCTTGTAGGAAATTTAGCACTTTGGTATTAGATTCTTGGTAATCAGTGGAATATAGTAGATTTGTATTACCTCGCTTAGCTATTATTTTTACAATGTCTGTAAGATACAGAACATTATCGTTGCCATCTATGCTTAAGTTTTGGTTTGGAAGTGTAGTTTTTCCAAGCGAAAAGATCTTCACCACTAAGTTCCTTTGTTTCCACTTTCCCTAAGTTTTCTTCCTGAACACACTTAACAAAATCTTGGAAATCGTACACTTTACCACCATGCTTCATAGCTAATTCTATCTGATAGTGAAAGGAGTCAGCAGCCATAAAAGTGTGACCTGGTTTGAAATAAAAAGTATCAATGGCGTCGACAGAAATCTCAGGGCCATAATTAACAATATACACTAAGAAGGTAAAGAAAGTCCAGTTCTTATTTTGTACTGAGCAGTTGTCCAGCTAAATACAAATATGTTTTACATATCTGAAATGGTAAAAAACGTGTAAAAGACATTAGGATGTCTTCCGAAAATATTATACGACATGTGTACGACATTTATTACCACAAGGTAATATTATACGACATGTGTACGACATTTATTACCACAAATATAATACCAAGTTATTCTATTAAATACTATTTAACTGGGAATAAGCCACAATTAAAGATTAAAGTACTTTATTGACGTTTTAATTCTTCATTTTCTCTATCTGGTTCTTGTTCTAAATCTAACTGCTGTTCTTTTTCTTGAGGTTTTTCATTATGAATTACACTATTGTTTATAGTTTCTATTTCTCTTTGTGGAGGTTTTGCGGAGAGTGCGGAAAGAGAAAGAGCTGATACTTACTGTTAAAAAGCGCAAACTACAATATTTGGGACATGTTATGAGGGGAGATAAATACCAGTTGCTGCAATTGATTATACAGGGAAAGATAATGGGAAAGAGATCTATAGGAAGAAGTAGGCATTCATGGTTAAAAAACTTGAGAGAATGGTACAATTGCACCAATTACCAACTGTTTAGATCTGCAGCATCAAAAATACGCATAGCTTTGATGATAGCCAAACTTCGGATCGAAGACGGCACTTGAAGAAGAAGATTTCTCTTTGTACTGGATCATCTGCCATTTGTTGCGGATCTTTTTTGTTGGATTCAGTCTTATTGAGAACATCATTGAGTTGTTGATTTTGTACGTCTAAGCATTTTTTACGCATTTTCGGGAGTTTACCATATTCAAGTTTTTGAGCTTCTGCTTGATCTACTAAATTATAGGATGAATGACACTTGAAGAGTATTGTTATTTATTTAAGAATCTTACAAAACACTTGTAATAAATGCTTTGAATGAATATAGAAGATAAAGTGCTTGTGTTGTTTCCTTGCCCTAAAAATTTATAAAATAGTTCCATCTAAATATAAATTTTGTCTTTTACAGTTTACTCTTCAACGAGTTGGATCCCGATAACGATTTCAATCCCAGATCGTTCGAAACCAACTCCACATCTACCACCAACGGTACCGCATCTAGTCCACCTCTAATCGCACCGCCACCAAAAGCAGCCAGGCGGTCCAATCTACCCGCCAATAATGGTAGCAACAATGAAACGAGTAGGTCACCAGGTCAAGATTTGTTCGGAACCATACCTTTCACACCAAATTCAACAGGCAACTTTAATAGTAATAATAAAGTGTTGGACCCATTCGAAATGGGAGATTTTGCAACTACCCCAACGCCGCAGGACATTGAAAATGCTATCGGATTATTGGACAAGAGGATACTAGAAATGAAGGTAGGTGCTCATTATATAATACTTTTTTACTGGTATTTAAAAAGCTTTGTTTATATATATATATATATATATATATATATATATATATATATATATATATATATATATATATTTACTTATTACCTCGATCAACATACATTCCTCTATATCTACAATGGATCATGCTAATGTTACAAAATTCTAAACAGTGCCGTAATTTCTCTTTAGTCAATTTTTCAGGATGCGTGTTGTTTTCTCTCTTACAGTTTTCATCATCATGATTCTGGCTTCACAACGCTGCGTGGGTCCTAGCCTCCTCAAGAATTTCTCTCCAGTCGTCCCTATCCATCACCTTTATATTAAGTGCCTGGTTAAAGTGTTCCACCCATCTATTCAATACATTTTGATAAAAAATGATCATATTCACTCGCAAATAACTCGATAAGTATTGACTTTGTGCGAAAACTGTATAAAATAAAAGTTACTTAGAATTACTCAGTTTTTTCACACCCTAGAAGGGGTGAAACTCACCCCCATGGCAAAAGCACACATCGGCAGAGTATTACTTTTTTTCTTTGCCATTAGCTATGTATATGCCAAATTGCATGTAAATCCATGCGGTTCTTTAAATTTACAGCAAAAATCGTGAATAAATGGACTAAAAAGGAAATAAAACGTTTCGAAACATCAATGAATTAAAATGTTGGTTTCTCTTACCTTTATTAAAGTGATTATCGCAAGCTATTTTTACTGTTGATTTACAAATACTTTGTTTTTTGGATACTAAAAGTTCACTACACACTATAAAACAGACTGACAAGTTTGGACTTGTAAAATGAGAATCCGTCTGGCTTAAGGTAATAAATTATATTTAATAGCCTCTTGACGAATGAGAGAGCGACTATCAACACGTGCGTTTGTTTACAGTTGGGAATTTGCTAAATGAATGTACTTTAGCGACTGTCATATTGAGTGCTGCTGCTAAGTTTATCAGTCGTAATCCGTTATCGCTGTGTTGTTTTACAGTTCTACAGCATCTGAATTCGCGTAATATTTCAGTATATCCATAGACTCCCTACTGCTGTTTGGGGAGCATTTTATTGCCCACGCTTTCTCAAAGTCTACAAAAAAATCATATATCGGGATGTTAATATTTGCTAATGCAAATTGTTTTGACGTATAAATCCCTAGATTTTATATTGGTCTCTAATGTATCTTTGTTTTGTTTCAGACTGGATTTAGCCGTGGAATCAGTTTCGGCAACGACGATTTCTCATTGGAAATGCTGGATCCTCTAAAAAACTAACAAATATTTATTAATATTAGCTATAGCAATAATAGTACATTTACCATGCCATGAGTCAACACTATCAAAATTGATATATGAAACATTATTGTGAAAAAATATACCAAAAATAGGTAATGTAGTTTATAAGAAAATTTACATAAGTATATTATCTTATCTCTATCAATTCTTTTGAAGTCACTAGATCTTGTTTTGAATATTTTACTCTTTTATAGACTCTTTTTGGTCAAAATATGAGGTATTTGCATTTCCACATACGGTTCCTACTTTTTTTACTTATATTTTAAAGATCTGTCACAACCAGCCCCCTCCACTTCATTTGTGAATCTTTAATCTCTTTTATATTGCTAATATCTCGAGTGCAATATCCATTTATTTCATTTGTTATAATTTGACTTCTTTCAGTCACGGAAATTCCAACATTTTTATATTCTTGTAACGTATGTATTCATACGAGAACTACAACTGCAATTGGCCATTTCGATGCCATTTCTCATGTAAAAATCGGTCGTTTAATTTGACCTGTCTGCCTCTGCCTGGCACATGTAGGTACATGCTTCGCGTGCATCAAATACCGGCTGTGGTGCTGCAGAGGACTAATTTCCAAAGGGTGCACCAAACATTAATAATCGTAAGGTTTCGCAGTGCAGATTTTTAATCACCTAATTTCACCGATACTGATAAAATAAATCATGGATATGAAACAGTTACTGGTAGAATTTGATATAACCACTATTATCATACGAAAACTTCGCAATTACGAACTAAATGACTGTCTAGCTTGGAATCATATCGCCAATGGGAGAAGTCAGGTAATCTGAGGCGAAAACATGTCATTTTGCCCACTTCATCACAATTCGTGTTTGTAGTACTTATTTTAAAACGTACCCATACCTTCAAATCTTTATTATAGTGATAAATAACATATATCTTTTTAAATATCTTTCATGAGTGTTTGCAGTAAGTCTTTTTTTTTTTAACTCTAGGGAGTTATTCTTGCTTTACATCCTTTTAATTAAATTTATAATTAAATTAAAAACCTATTTGAAATTACTGTAATCTCGAATAATTGGTAGTAACGGTCGTAATTTGTTGCTTCATGTTTTTGTAAATGTATTATTCAATGTTTGTCATATTGGCAAGAAAAATTCGTGATTTAATGACTACGTCAAAAAAAATTTTATACATAATTTTAAGTTATATATATATTTTTCCTCAAAGAAGTATTATAATGCATATATAGTATGTTTTTGTGAAATTATTTTGTTGTGTACATTATTGTTATAAGATTTATATATATTTCTAATTTCTTAAAATATAAATATTTTTGGTAACTGGATATTTTCGTTTATTTATTTTGTCATCTTAGCTTCACATATAACTTTTGTTATGAATGAATAAAAATGGCACGGCTGCAACAAGAAACTACAACACAACTCTTTTAGAAAAAAATGGAAATACTATGATAACGACTGACGAAAAGCTAAAGCTAAAACGATGGAAAAAAATATAAAAGAGCTCTTTGGCGACGAAAGAGGAAACCTACAAGACATATCTTTCGAGGACAGAGAAACAAATGTAAAAACTACAAAGGAAGATATTATATTGTATGTAGTAAAGAACACCAGAAATGGAAAAAGCTCAGGACCAGATCAACTGCCTATTGATAACCTCAAAATAATAGAAAATGAGTACATGGATGTTCTCTTAATGAAATTTATCAGTCGGGTGAGATGCCCAATGAATGGTTGACCTCTACATTTATTTATCTTTCAAAAAAAAAAAAAAATGCTTGAGATTGCACCGACCTCCGCACCATAAGCCTGATGTCTTGCACACTTATAATGTTTTTAAAGATCATCCATAAACGCATTTACCAAATACTTGCCATGGATATTGAAGAAACCCAATTTGGATTCCGTAGAGGCATAGTGAACCCGTGAAGTTCTCTTTGCATTCAACGTACTAATCCAGAGATGTTTGGATGTGAACTAAGATATTGTACGTCTGTTTCATAGATTACAACAAGGCTTACGATAAAGTCCGCTACAAAGAGCTAACGGACGTCCTCAAAGCAAAACAATTACAATACAATGACCTTCGAATTATAACAAATCTATATTATAAACAGCAGGCACACATACGCATTAATGAACATACATCAGTTCTAAATTAAAAGGATACTATTCAATGCATCATCATCATTCAGCCTTTATTTATCACGCCCACAGCTGGACATAGGCCTCCCATAAACTCCTAAATTCTTTGAAATGGAGAAAATTCAATGCATACTCTGAAGCACACTTGTAAGAAATAAACCAATTAACCGATTTCATTTCGGAACACTACCCTAATTTCATCTGTATAGTGTTCCGTAATGAAAATTGTTTCTTTAGACAAGGTAAGAGAGAGGGCGAGAACAGGTAACACAACCTAACCTAACCTTTTTACCTATGGGTAACACATGAACCTTCGAAAAGTGCGAAATATTATTTTTAAAATTTTATTGCGGCAATGAGCTACATTCCTGGTATTTTTAAATAATTTAATGGACTGCGATTGCCTGCTAAAGTTACTACAACTTTATTATTTTCACTGCAAAAATAAACTGACCAAATGTTCAATATATCTGATCATTTGTCGTTTTAATCTCTATCGAATACAGCCATTTGTTTTATAGATTTCTGTCAATGAGTTGACATTTTTTTTGTCCTTGTATCCCTTAATAAAAAATTAACTATAACTGACCAAATTCTGAAATCAACTGACCATTCAGACGATATAGTTATTTTACGAAAGTCGATCAATGAGGTATCACCATATCAGAGCTCTTCGGAACCTTCTTAGAAATCAGACCATTTTTGAGGTTCATCAGGAACACTAAAAGCAAAAGGGAAAAATTTTCTTTAAAATTGAGGTCATTGTCGGATGTTTATTATCAGGTGAGTAGAAGAGAAAATGGGTTAGTCCATAGTATAGACAAAAACCATATAGACCTTGGCGACCTTGAAATTTATTTTAGTTTCTTCGAATACACAGATGGCGCTACAGTACCTACATATTTTGAAGAGACATGGCAACTTCACGTGAACATTTGTCATTGTCAAGATTCTCGTGTGATTATTTACTATTTACAGCGTGGTGGTGTTTATCTTTTGAGGATCTTTTATGTATTTTTATTTTTGGTCTATGGGTTAGTCTATCGAAAAATGTTAAATATAAAAGTTAGACAATTATATTTTAGACGAATTATACAGCTTTTATGATTTAATTTAATTATTTCTGAAGGTTTCAAGATTTAGTAAGTTTTTGTAAATAATTTTCAACGAAATAGAAAACTTTTATTAATAAAGAATTACTTACCACCGATCAATTAATGGAAAATTGACCTTTGTTGCTGATTTTATGATCTTTTCTAGATTATAGAATAGGTTCTTGTATTCCAGAGTCTATTTAAGGGAAAATAAAATACACATAGTCGTTTGCTTGTTTATTTGAAAGACTTGAGGAATAACAATATTTCCAACATTTATAATATTGCTTTATAGTCGATTGACTGACTAGTTTCTAAGTAGAAAGCAGTTCTGAGAAAAGGCAGAAGAATATATCAAAAGAAAACTGATCATGTAAATTTGTTCTTTTTTATGTCAAGGCCATTGAGCAAGCTCGATGGTCAAGGCCTAGTCCGTATCGAATGCTAACTTCAGTTATGTAATTTATTTATGTTTGTAAATAGTATAAATTATCAGCAAAAACTACGGTAGCATCTGCGTATCTCTGGTATTATTCAGTCATTCACCGTTCATTAATATTCTTTGCCCCAGCTTTCCAGAGATTCCCTAAAGACATATTCAGAATAAATATTGAATAGAAGGTTGGATAAAATACATCTGTCATACTATTTGTTCTACTGTTTGATGGTTTGATGATAAATGGCCTGTTTGTTTGTAACATGTTGATAACTCTCAGGTCTGTGTGATTCCTTTTACTCCGTCAAATGCTTTTTGGTAATCTATAAGGCATTTGTATAGTTCATAAATTACATTTTTGTATTTCTGAAATAGTACTTGTAAGGTAAAAAGGCCCTCTCTAATTCCCAAATCCGATGTAAGCTTGTTCCACGGTTTTTAGCGACTTGTTTGTCTGTCAGAAGTCTAGTACAGAAGCAAATAAGAAACATTGATGATAATTTTCAACTCAGCATTAAAACTTATGTAGAGAAAATTATTAAACAAAAAGTTGCAGTGTCGAGAAAAAACAAATTTGACACACAAGTATTCCAAATAGCATGTAGAGAGAAATACCTGTTTACTCTTCTCTCTACTTCCTACTATCTAAAAATTAAGACTATTCTCCCCCCTATTTTTCATTTTATACATGCATGTATGGAAAGTAAATACACATACTTCACTGATATTTTCTTCTGCCGAAATATTTTATGCAAAATACTCTCTACAGTCTATACCCAAGATTTTATTTGTATGTAGACTGTTATCACTAAAGTTGACTTATATATACATATATTTAAATAAGGTTTGTGTCCTTCAACACACTTGTACTTCTACCTCCCAAAAATAATATTGTTAAAGCTAATCAATCGCGAAGTTGATTATAGGCAAAAATCTCACACTCGCTTTAAAGCAAAACGGCTTACAATACGTTTTTATATGTATCTTACATTCTTTTAAAGTTAAAATATGTATGTATGTATAGTGATAATATTTTCAACAAGAAAAATATTGCATATTATAGTAGTTATATTCTATATTTGGAGAATTCTACAAATAATTTATATTACTTTAACTAAAACCAAAAATATGACAACAATAATAATGGACACGTACAGGCTGAAAGCCCAAGGATTATATATTTTGAAATTTATATGAATCGGCCTCTGCCTGATAATTAATGTCTAAACTGTAAGTGTACCCTATTGCTATTCTTTCAAAAATTTGCAAAATTAGTTAAAATTACTGGTTTTATAAAGTAAGTAATCATCA